CCGTTTTCAAAGATTCCCGTTTTGGGTGTTTACACAGAAACGATAACGGTGGCATTTTGAAAAACTTGCACTTTGAAACCCGTTTTCAAAAATATGCGTTTTCAGTCCCCAAAACGCCGTCGTCGTGTAAACGAACAGGCAAAACACATAAAAAGTTTCCCGTTTTTGGCTGAAAACGTTGTCGAGTAAACGGCCCCTAATAAATTATACTTACACAGAGCAAAGTAAACGGCATACTTTGCTGCTATGTCGTGTTAATGTCATATTTGCTGTGTGGTGTATGTGAACTTAACTTTATTTGAAACTATTATTTCAAGTAACAATTACTTTGTAAAAAATACTATAATAGAATTGCAGAATCAACTAAATCTAAATAAATCACTTTATTTAAAATTATGTAAAATTGAATTTTTTTCCATTTTTAAATTATGTAATTTAGTAAGTAGCAGTGTTGGTGAAAGTTACTTTTAAAAGTAATGCATTATGATATTGCGTTACTTGATTAAAAAGTAACTAGTTGCGTTACTTAGTTACTTTTTATGGAAAGTATTGCATTGCGTTACTTTTGCATTACTTTTTGTCACATGGGCTGGGCTGCTTATTTGTTTTAACTAACAAAAAAACCCCCCAAATGTTACATTTTTGGCAACTTTCTCACCAAAAGTGAAATTAATAAGCTTCAGGCCAAAGGAAGTGCCTCTGCACCAGTGAATAAATTGGAAAACAAAGTAACGTATTTGAAGTAACTTGGAAATTTAAAAGTAATGCGTTACTTTACTAGTTACTTGAAAAATGTAATCTAATTATGTAACTCACATTACTTGCAATGTGTTACCCCCAACACTGGTAAGTAGTATGTAATGTAAATACATTTAATTTCCACAATTATGCGTGCATTTTTGCTTTATTTATTTATTTTTCATTACGTGTTTTTACTTTTGGAACAACATGAGGATGAGTAAGTATTGACTTCCTTTAAGATGTGTAGAATTGCAAGCCAATGGACTTTTTGTTCATTTAAGTCTTCATCTAATGATAAAGCAAGTCCTCTAATGAATCCGAAAGGTTTTTATTTAATTTTAGAAGTGACCTTAGCCGTATCATTGCGTGTGTTGCTTCATGAGTGAAGGTGAAGGCATGACGCTGAGTTGCGTCTACCGCTGCGAAATATCAGCATTACTTCCCTTTGTTTCTAAGTGATTTCTGCTCCATCTGTCTTGACTCGAGTTAAGGTCATTCTGTGCAGCTCCACATCACCTCCATTCTGAGCTCACAGAGGCTTCTCATGCTGTATGAATGTCTGCGATATCAACCATCAGGCTGCTTTTATTCCATTTCTCATGACAAATGGTGGAATATCAGCGCTGCTATTTTAGGGAAATGCTAAGAGGAGAGGATGATAGAGGATGGGTCGTGTGCCCGAGCCACAACATATCAATAGTTTGAAACCAATATGGTACATATACACGAGGGTTGGGTGATATGCCTAATACATTCAATCTGTTTTTCAGCCGTTTGGCGATATTTGAGAGAAATATATTTATTTGCTATGGAATGGCTTTAAAGCATTTTTTAAGTTTACAAAAGTATTGATGTACAGTAGGAGCTTGTAAAAAAAAATAAAAATAAAACTTTACATTTTTTTTACGTTTAATAGAAATATACCTTTTTTATTCTAATAATGATTGAGCTTAATATATATTGAACCTGAATTTTATAATAGATTTTTAGTAGCACTTATAATAAAGTCCCATTTATTAACATTAGTTAACTACATTTGTTAACATGAGCTAACAATGAAAAATCATTTTTCATTTGTTAATGTTGATTTTAACGTTGACATAAAATCCAAAAGTTGCATCTGTTAATGTGATGTACCTAACATAACATGAACTAACAATGAACGGCTGTATTTTTTTATTTATTGAAGATTAATAAATATTCTAACAAATAAATTGCTCATTGTTAATTTCATTCAACATATTAACTAACTTTAATAGGACCTTATTGTAAAGTGTTACCATATTTTAAAACATTTCTTCTTAAAGTTTCTTAGAGCATCCATATTTTGGCCTGAACAGACATTAATGCACTTACAATTTTAAATGCCAATGCAAAACAATAACAGTCCATAAATTTAAGAATTTTAATCAGTTTCAAGAATTGTAGTCACTTATTTATATATAAATCGGATTCGTCGTATTTGCACTGCAACTCACAATTTTCACAGGAATCTCAAAGTAGTCGTTAAGGACCACAGTTGGTCAAAGTGCAGAATCATTGTGCTATCTATATAAATATATATAATATTTAATAACTTGATTAACATAATCACACATCAATATTTGTAACTATTCTATAAATCGTCCATTCCTAAGATACACCACAGCTATTTTTAATATTTAGAACATCATGTAGCAGTAATGTAGAAGTCTAGTAGGTTCTCATTATTTGCAATCGAATATGCAGCTTTATTTTGAGGCGAGTTTCTAAACAAACTTGAAAAGGGCATGATCGCATAAGTGCATTTCCTGGTGAAAGGTGTTGTTGAAATGGATAATGCAAGCTTGTTGTATTAGCAAACGGGCATTATCCTTTGTCCTAGAGAGATTTATTTCCATTGAGTTCTTTTTGAATCAGTTTTAACATCTCAGATCCACAGAATCATTATAAGTATGTAATTTAACAAACCCTGGCCTGAATGTGCATCTCCCTCCACTGTTTGAAAAATTGTGCAATGGTTATTGTGAAAATGCTATGCGACTTAATGCTTGATCAGGTTCACTTAGCAAAACCTCTTGGACTGTATAGCCTACAATAAATACAGGTTAAAATGACCTCCCTCCAGTTAAAATTAGTAAAAGTTAACATTAAAATTATGACTTTTCTCTGCCAACTACGGACTTAGATGCAGACCTTCAGAAATGTTTCCAAGTCATCCAGAGTGCTTTGTCTTCCCTTGAGAGTGGATTCAAAGGGTGGGAAACTTTGCTTCCAACATGTGTTTTCTGCTGCTAATCTATTCTCTAAGATTG